TTTTTTTTTTTTTTTTTTTTGAAGGTCAATTTGCATAATGAAAAGTTTTTTGATTTTTTTGAGTAGTCAATTTGGCACAATGTTATGTTTTATTCTTTTTCCAAGTGTTTCGAAAGCGTGTGTAGAGAAAATTCTCGTACATTTCAGATTCGATTTTTCGGTTTTATATCAATTTTAATGTCTTAAATGAAAATTTAATTGATTCTTTTTACGGTTTTAGATCTCAAATGAACCAGGACAACGAAATATGTTTTAATCGACTATTATGAAGCTTTAATTCATTTTCTCCTGATGAGTTCTGAATTGGAGTTTCAGTAAAAGGAGAATAATTTTTATAATTTTGTATGTTTTCCCTTTTGCATTTTTATTTTTCGAGTTTGTGCTACTATGAATTCTTATTTTAAATTTGTTTAGATATTGTGTTAAACCTCTTATACACGGTTGCAGTTATTTATAGCGTCAAGGAATTGCCTTCCTTTGATTCCAATTTAATTTTAACTTTAGATGCTTTAAGTTTATTTTACTTCAATCCTGCAGCTATAGCGCAGGACAAGTTAAAAAAAAAATTGTTTTTTATTTTTGGCCTGTCATTATGTTTCTTAATGTATGGAAACATATATTTATATTTCATATTTATCATAAAAATATTTCATGTTAATATAACAATACGTTATTAATATTAGAAGACATTTGCATTGTTAATGGTGATAAGTTTGGATTTTTAGGTAAATGGATTAAAAGTTTAGTTAAATTGAGTTTTTAGTAAGTTTGAAATTATAAGAATTTAGTTTATGTAATATTACAAATCAATAACTTACCTTTATAATGAAGAATTATATTTGAGATCCTTTCAAATTTAATTTTAAAGAAAAACTTCTTTATGCTCTCGATGTAGTGACGTAGACTAGAGAAATGTCATTAGAATACGAGCAAGTTCAGTTTACTGTTCTGAGTCATCAGCCAATTACAAGTATACTGAAGATAGCATTTCACACTTCAACGCAGCTGTTTAGCAAAGAAAGGGACCCCGCCTCCACCATAAATTTCCAGTGTCTTCCCAAGTTGAGTCACAGTAAAACTTTCATCTAAGATTTTACTGTAAAGATGTCCACTTTCCTTTCTAAAAAGCTGAAACATCTGTTTTTTTTTTTTTTTTTTTTTTTCAGTCAAATTCTACTATTATTATTGTCATATTCCAATGACACATAATACATGACCTGCAATATCTTTTAGCATTTCCTCTGTACTATAAATGTATTTCAGTTAATGTATAATTATTAAATATTTAACAGTAAAAATTATGGATATTCGAATAATTTTAGGAAATTCTTCCACAAGTTTAGGATGAAATAATAAACAAATTTTATTGACCTGTATCCAAAGAGCTTTGAAGGTGACTGTGTAATATGTGAAATGGAAATTTTAAAATTAAACCTTCCAAGTTTCAAGTTTCCAGAAATGTTTAATAATTTGTAGTTAAACTTATTGACACTAACGTATTTGAAGATGAGTACTCTGTCGCATAGATTCTAAAATTAGCATAAATAAATACTTGTTTAGGAAACAAGTATAAAGTTTCTTCATAATTACTAAAAATAAAGTTGTATGAAACAAGTTTTGCGCACTTCTTAGAGAAATGCGAAAAACATCATTTAATGAAAATAGATTTTTTTTTTTTTTTTACCCCAGGTGGATCAAAAAGCAAAAATCAGTTAGGAAAACAAAAATCACGATATATTTTAGGAGCATTAATATTTTTGATTATTGTTATATTTTTTATTTACGTCTTAAAACAACTATTTCTGGCTCAGAAATTAATTACGTCAGATTTCCAGTTTTTACATTGCTTATAAATTAAGCCGTATCATTTTTATCTTAAACATTAATTTATTAATGACAAAAATATGAAAAATACATATAATGTATGGGAACATATATTAACGGAACCTATTTATGTCTTAGAAAAGCTACGCAGTGGTGCCAAAATGAAAGAGAATAATGCGAAAAGGGATTTTATGAGTGAAAATCGCATCATTTTCCACTAAAACGTTTTAACTAATTTTTTTTAATTGCGAAAATTATTGAAATATTGCAATAAAAGTGGGATAATTCTTTCCATTGTAGTGATCTTTTCCTATGATGTCTTAGTGTTGTATTGTTCATTGTTCTTTGTAGTGAACATTGTATTGTAATTCGTGTTCTTTCAGATGTTGAAATGCAACTTAAAACTATTAGGTCCAACGCTGCCATTGATATGCTTAATATTTTCAGTAATTAATTTATCGAAATTTACGAAGTAGTACATACTTTTAGTTGTAAGATGTCATTTTATTATCATTATTATATTATTATTGATGATTTCATGTACTGAATGCTCTGTGCAAAGTAAAAATAGAATAAATTAAAAGCGAAAGTGTAAATTTTAAAGTTTCATTTCAAATAACAGCCCACTAGCGGCCGAGCGGTAAAGTCGCTGAACACTGGTAGTTCGGTTCGAGGTTTGAATCCCGCGAACGGACTGGCTGCATGGGCGTTTTCGTGGTTTTCCCCATGTGTAATGTGTATACGAGCCAGTTTCCCTTAGGAAGTTCTCCACGAAGGCATTCCTTCCCTTAGGTAGATAGCCCTCGAGACTTTGCTACAATCAGACACACACACACTTTTTAATTTCAAATAACGATTAGAAAGTACTCCACGAAGGCGTTCTTCCCCTTGGGCAAATATTCCTCGAGTGCTTTATTATTATATAATAATTCAATTCAGTTCCGTTTAAATAACATACAAATTATTGCGCATTACTGAATTCTAGGCTTAAATGTTTCACGTTGTTAAAATGAATTGTAATTTATTATATTTTTCAAACGAAGGGAAATTAAAATATTTCTTTCAAAACAAATTTAATATCTTCAGAATTATCTTTTACAGATTAGTGTGAATTTTTGGTAGCTGAGTAATTTACAGGCTAAGAAACACCACAGCTATTCTCTTTCCTAAAGCAAATCAATTTACGAGTTCTATGCCTTCAGATTTTATTCTCGTTTAGGAAATTTAAAGAATTCTTAACCTGCACTTTATATGCAATGTGAGAATATTTTGTAAATTTTGATATGAAAAATAGGATAAATATTGATTTACTCATTATTTCAAGTAAAAATATTCATCCATTCCATTTCCTCTCCCCATAAGTGAAGAAGAAGTCATGAATTTCGATAAATTTAAGGAAAAAAAATTAACTGGAATATTTGCCGCTTAATGTTTAAGCAACCAGAATGAAACTGTGTTCTTTGTTTAAACACAGCAAAACCCGTTGAATTGGGATTGCAAAGGGAGTTGTTAGTTTTGTCGCATAAAACATGGCCCTTTTTCTTTGACCTTGAATTCATTCAAAGATTCCTAAGAAAATGGAAATCTCTCTTTTCTAAATGTGGTGTCATAAATTCTTTGCATTTCCTGGACGAGTACACCATTTCGACATGTGGGTGGGGCAAAGTCCTTTCATGCCACGACTGCTCAACTTACGTCAATGATTTCGTGTCCTTAAGAAATGAAAGCATACATTCTGGAGTTAGCAATTGATACTTAGGAATGATTTCCCCTCCAGATTATTAGTCTAAAAAAGAGAAAAAAAAATCGATCCGCCTTTAACTTTGCCATTTTGGAATGTTTCATACTTCTAAAACCAAAATTTTCCCGTCCCTATACCCTGCCTTCTGGTGCAGACTGCACCGTCGTTTTTTACATTGTGAGAACCATACATTCAAACATTCTAGGTAACGTTGTTTCGTCATAGTGCGAGAAACATACATAACATTTATGCAGATTCTTCCTTATTTAATTTTTTAAAAAATAGTACAAGGTGAAATTATTTGGTGGCAACAATTTGAAAAGTGATACGCCGTTTATTGAGTGAACCAACGCAATACATGTTATATTAAATTGTAAAAAATCATTCATATTAATAAATTCAATTTCAAGCTTAATATTAGTCCTGATTTTTGGACTTGGGTTTAATGGAAGTGCTAGTAACAGATTCAATATATGAACAAAATTAAACGCTTCGGAATGACATATTATGAGAATTTCGAACTGCAAATAATATACCACGTTTCCTCTTAATTTGCAAAGGTCATTCGAAATTAAGTACCAGAATCCTGTTTAGTTACTTCTTTATTTATACTTAGAAAATGTGTCTATTAATTATTCGATCATAATTAACAAAGTATATAAATTAATATACAAAATAATTATATTATAATAAATAGTTACAAATAATTTCCACTTCCACCCCCTGTTGAATTGGGATTGCAAAGGGAGAAACCTTTCCTTCAGGGGGTCGCCTTTAAAAATTTTCAGTTAAGAAACTAATAAATACAAAGGAACTTTTCCTATTTTCTGCTGACTCCTATGCCTGAGCTGAGGTAGGTCAGGAAGTTGCTATTTCATAGTCGAATGACGGAATATTAACTTTTGCAAACACTGAATTTAACTGTTCATGTGCTTCCAAGGCCCTGAGGAACAACTGCAATAGGAAGAGAAAAAAACTTAAAGAGAATTCTATTATATTAAAATAAGAATTCATAGTAGTACAAACTCTAAAAATAAAAATGAAAAGCGAAAGGAAAAAAGATACTTTTAAGTTTAAACATGTAAATGTAGTTCAGCAGGACATTTAAGGGCCCCCTAAACCTTCGGGCTCCTATGCGACGGCATTCCTTTCATACCCTTATTTACGCCACTGATTATCTGTGTTGCCTAGCAAGTTGCCAGTTGTGAGCAATGTTACTAAATGATATGGTATTTGACTTTTGATTTATCTTTTGACTGAACATAGAAATTTAAAATTTATGTATGTATTTCTTAATTATTTGTATCTCTATGTAATTTTTTTAATTATATATCTATTTTAATCTTATAGTACATCGAATTCATACAGTTTATATAAGGCTTTCTTATTTTTTTATTTTTACAGGTATGGGAAACTGAGTGTGGCTTCATAAAGTATAGAAAACATCATTCTGCACCTGGTCATTCTGTAAACTTCTCTTCTTTTAATAAAAGTGGTACAGTTTTTGGTGCAGCAGGATATGATGCAATTGATCTGTGGGACTGTGAAAATGGCAATCTTCTGCAGACATTTTTACATCAGGAATTACGAGTTGAAAGATTTTGTTTCACTAATGATGGACATCATATAATATCAGTATTTAATAATTCTATATATAAATGGGATCTGCGCACAAATCAGTATACTGAAATTAAGCTTCCTTCTTCTAAAAATTTTGTGATTCTTAGCTGCTGTTTATCTGCTGATGGAAACTTTCTAGCATGTGGTACATCTGATTCTTCAGTGATAATACTTGACATGAATTCTGAAGCTGTGATTAATAACTTGAAAGGTCACAAAGAACATGTGATAAATGTTATGTTTTCAACAGATGGTAAAAAATTACTCTCTGTTTCTTATGGCTGGTACATCATACATGATATGACTGCAGTGAAAAATACTTACGCAGTTAGTTTTCAAGGTAACTTGAGTGTGCAGTTGAAAGATGAACTTCTTATTGCAACTTCTAGTTACTGGAAGTGGATAGAGGTGAGATATATTTTTGAATTTATAGAAGTGAATTCAGAAATTAAAATTATTTGTGCTTTACCCTTTGCTAGACCTGAGTGATAAATCACTAAATTATTTTTCAGTCACCATCATTGACACTGCAACCACTTCTTATCATTTTCCATGTGAATTTTTCAACCAACTTTTGATTATTTTACTTGGATTCCATTAATTAAGAGGAAAATTTAGGACCTCCCTTTTTTTTTTTTTTTTTTTTTTTTTTTTTTTTTTTCCCCTTAAATTTCAAATGAAATGAGTAACAGTTGTTTCTGTTACGTTTTTTTCAAATGCATTCATGTTTTCTTTCATGATATAGGCATTTAAATTCTTTATATGAGAATGGCATTGTGCATCCTCACGAAAATGAAAAATACCTGCTATTAGCAACATTTGTGTCTAGCTGAGCGAAAAGTATCAAATTATTTTATGAAATTGAAGAAAACATGATTTTATATATACCACAAGAATAACTTATCTATCAAAATAACAGATTAAAATTAAGTATCTTGAAATGCTGGTTATTCTTATTTTAAACTTTGCTGTATATTGAATTGGTATCACATCTACAAGCTACCCTCAACAGTGCGTCGAAAGAAATATTTCACAGATACGAAGGCACATAGTCCTAGTGTGCTTTGCCATGATCAACTAAAACCATTTCAGAGAATTTTTGAATTGGCAATTGGTTGACCTGCAAAAACCAGTTCTTTAGAGAAATCATACAGGGGATAAAGCTTCAAGCAAAATACTTTCAGTTCAATTTCCAAAAGTCCTGCATAGATAGGCAGGACACTGATTTTAATGAAACATGTTTCGGCTAGGAGTCCTCAAATGGTAGAAGGAAAAGCTTGTTTTCGGAAAGCTTCTTCTAGCCTTGCACATAACTCTGTTAGTAATATGCACTGGCTAAATATTTTAACCCTTTATCGGGCCCAGGCCATTTATTTTCAAAATTTATATTTTTTGCAACTATTAGGGAAAAGTAGCTCATCTATGACCAAAAATACTATTTTTGGAATTCTGTTGTTGTTGTTCTTTTTTATAATAGGGGTGGTAACATATTTACCACCGCCCGGTATAAGCAATGGCATTTTACTGAGTTGTGCGAAAGAAAAAAATCATAATTACAAAAATATCACAAATAAGCATGTTTGATGAAACTATTTATTCTTGATTATTTAAATATACATATAATATAAAATCGATGATTAATATAAAATTTATTACAGATATAAATATAACCAAATGCACTACTTCTACTGATTTTAATTTTTATTTTTATTTATAACATGAAGCAGCACAGAATGGTACATCACATGTTGAACATAACACCTTGGTACGTTTCTGATTTACTTTTCTGCTGCAGTATTTGCACCTTCCGTAACTTTTTCCTCTGACTGGCATGTGTGTTCTAACATTAGTTGTTCGGATTTTCCCTTGGAATAGCATTTTCCTTTTTCGCTGATACCCACTTTGATTGCAGTTTTCGTTTTTTAACTAGAGAAGCCTCCAATTAGGCTGCGAGCTACTCTCAACCTAAATTCAAGTCTTTTTCCCAGTGTAAACTTCAAACTGATATGGGTAACCATTTGATGCGTTTGTTCTAGCCTAAATCTTATAAACTCTTTTTACAGGCTTCCCTGGCATATATTGCTTCATTGTGGACCTTCCTTTGAATTTTACCATTTTTTCATCAATAGATTGAAGTCTGAATATTTTTCTTGAATTTTTATCTAAATGGGTTATCAAAGAATGCACTTACTGTAATTTGTCAAATTCTGGCTCATTTCAAGGGACAGCCTTTTGATTGCCATTGATATGCAAATTTGAAAGGATATTTTTTTAATCTCTTTGCTGGCATAATTGACGAGATTTCTTGATTATTGAAAAAAAGAGTCAGAAGACCAGTACAAATCTAAGGTAATTTCTTGATCCCCTTCATAATTAGGATTTCCCAAAAAAGCCTGCAGTTCTTCTTGCGCGAGGGAGTCCTTTTTCGGAATCTTCAGGATCTGAAGGCAGTGCAAAATAAAGCTCTACATCCTCCTCGGTGATTAATTTTTTTCTTTTTCTTCAATGCGTTTACCTATAATAATATTCATTACATTTAATTAGTTACTTATATTTTGAAATCACTTGAACATACTGATCAAAATATTACCTTTATAGCATTCTTGTAAGTAATATTTTAATTCTAATTTCTAAATACATAAATATTATGTAATCCTAAATAAACGCTAAATATTTTCTATAATATTTATAATAATAATATTAGAAATAATTAATTACTGAAATGCTAATATAAAAGTATTAGATATACAAAGAAATAAAGTACTATGCCAAACAAAATGCTATTTCTAAAGCGAAACATATTAGTAAAAATGTGTTTTGATCAGGCAATGGTAAATTATTTACCACCTCTAAAATCACTAAGCGTGCCGTGGTAAATATTTTACCACCAAATTCAAGTATGTATAAAACAAAATATTTCGCTATATTTTTTTAAATGCCTAATACAATTTAGCTATCAAACCTTTAAGATACAAAATATATGAATAGATAGCTTTTAACGTATTTTTATATATCATTACACAATAAAATAAGAAAAGAGTATGTGCTTACCCTCTCCATTTTACTTGAAAACTGGATGAATGCAGAAATGTTGCGGTTTACGTGTGCTCTACAGCCATCTATCTATTACAGAAAATGTTAAGCTCTGGTTCCAGAGGAAAATTCCTGATATCGGGCGCTGGTAAATAATTTTATGTATGCTGCTAGAAAACAAATTGCTTAGTGGTAAGATGTTTACAACCGCATGTAAAAGGGTTAACAGAAATGTCAGCATTGAATGTATTAGCACATTGGAAATCTGTCATTTAAGTGGGTGACATTACACACATACATTTGAAAATTTGATGGCGCTGGTTTGATTCATTCAAAATGAATGAATTCTTATTATTGCTATGAATTTGTTTAATTATGAATGTTTATTGAGGAAAAGCTAATGAGTGCAGTAGTATGAAGCCTGCATTATTTAATTAGAAATAGAAATAGTTTTTATACTTGATTTATGAAAATTTCTTTGTATAAGCCATGTATTGCATGTATGGTACCCAAAATATGGGTCATGATCCACATTTGAATTGGGGGACTGTCAGCGGATGGAAAGTAGACACAAACGTTCATTATTGCGTTTATTAGACTCTGTGAAGAACAAGTTCGTACAATAGATATACAGGTAGTTCGGCGCTCACAGGCGCCCTCTTGCAGGGAACAAAATCAAATTTTACATAAGGCGCGAACATGCCGCCCACCTTGAAATACTATTTCAACATTTAGTGGTTAAAATTCAGTAAATTTAAAACACAATACAATATTAAAATTATGATATAATACTTAATTTATAATACATGAATTAAAACTCAAATTGGTAATGGACACAATTTTGTAATATTTCTTTTAACCATGCCATCTGAAGTCTTAATAGTCACAACCCTAACAATATTATCAAGACCAGGATGTAACTGAGTAATGCTACCCATTTAGTTGGAGGTAAGTTATCCTCCTTTATGAGACACAGATCATTAACTTGAAGATTTTTAGTTGGCAAAAGCCATTTTGGTCTTCTTTGGACACAGGTATTCTTTGTGCCAACGCTTCCAAAATTGTTGAACCATTTTTTGAATATGTTGCCATCTAGTGAGATGGGAAACTTCAATGTAATTTGGTTCAGGAATGCTTGTTAATGATCTACCAATAAGAAAATGACCAGGCGTCAATGCTGATAAGTCATTTGGATCATTAGACAAACTTGTTAAAGGTCGCGAATTAAGACAAGCTTCTATTTGTGTGAGAAATGTTTCAAATTCTTCATATGTCAATCTCGCCTCCCCAACTACTCGTTTTAAATGGTATTTTGTTGATTTTATGCCAGCTTCCCAGAGTCCACCCATATGTGGCGCACCTGGAACGTTTAGATGCCATTTAATGCCATTATCAACCAAATATCTGCTAACATTTTTGGTTATAAGTTGCAGACCTAGCAAGCCTTTCAAATTCCATGAGTTTGCGTTTTGCTCCAACAAAATTGGAACCACAATCGCTATATATATCACTGCTTTTGCCTCTGCGGGAAATGAACCTCTTAAGAGCTGCAATAAAAGCATCTGCTGAAAGATCAGTCACTAATTCTAAGTGAATAGCTCTTGTCGTAAAACAAACAAATAGAGCTATATATGCCTTGAATGACCTAGAGCCTCGACCCTTATTTGCTTTAATTTGAAAAGGACCTGCGTAATCCACTCCACAGCGCAAAAACGCAGGAGCAGGCGAAACGCGACTAGACGGCAAATCGCTCATCAATTGATTAGTGACAGATGCTCTAATTTTGCAACACTTTATACATTTCCTAACTAAATCTCTGATAACAGCTCTACCATTTATGATCCAATATTGTTCTTGAATGCAAGATTGCATAAGTTGTGGACCTGCATGCAAAAGTCTTTCATGGTAATGTCTAACAATGAGATGAGTTAAAATGTGCTTCTTTGGAAGCAAAATTGGATGCCTAAAACCATATGCAAGGTTTGCATGTCGCAAGCGACCGCCCACCCTGAGAATACCTGAAATTATCTAAAAATGGATTTAAAGATAAAATTTTGCTTGTACCAGATAATGATTGATTTCTGCCTAAAGTGTTAATTTCATTCTTAAATTCAACATATTGCATTAATTTAATTAACACATGCATAGCTTTAGTTAATTCACTTGTTTTTAAAAATCCACTTACCTGATCTTCTGAATTTTTACAGTTATTTACAAACCTCAGACATAATGCTACAACACGTTTAAGTTTAGTGAGAGAAGAATATTTATAAAATAAATCATGAGCGTCTGTCAAGTGACTGGCAGCAGTTGTTGACTGTAAAGCACATCTTTGCTCTGGCACAGAATCATTCAGTAGTGGTGCAGATAATGCT